CCAGAAAGTAAGAAAAAGCTGGTGTGCTTGGAGTGACGGGTTAGGACAGGCTGTCTTGTCCATGGTGTGGCCTGATCCTTCGTACACTCTTGGTGAAGTGTGGGCTATGATGTCTCCAGTCGGTGTCAGCTGATAGGAACGTGGGACCCAGCCATTGCCTGCAAACACACCCCGTGGTGTCAGGTTGCTGGGTCAGTTGTCAGTAGCTGTTGATTTTGCACTTCTTCTGTGCTAACCATTTCCTAGGCACTCAGGTGTAGCAGTTGACAAGAGAAATACAGTCCTTGCCCCTGTGGGACCTGTATTCTAGGGGAGAAGACAGAAAACAAATTTAAACTCATCCTTATGGAGGTCTATGCTGTGACAAAAATGGGATGTGATTATCAGGAGTGTCGGTGACAGCTGACAGCGGCGTTGGAACTGAGACCCAGATGAGAGGGGAGGACTGGGGCAGTCTTCAGGGCTGGCCCGTCAGGCCAGGGAGCAGTGTGGAGGTTGCGCAGTCAGGAGAAGCAGCGGGCTGGGGGAGCTGAAGTGAAGGGAGGGTGCCGAGGGGCGGTGATGGGGCTGTGGATCCCACAGATGGCCGAGGACCTTGACAGACAGGGTCAGAGTGTGGCTTTTGTTACGCGGACGTCAGGAAGGGAAACGGGCTGATACATGTTTTAAGGAGAAGCAGAAGGCAGGTAGTTGGGCTCTTGCAGTGGTTCCGTGGCTCCGTGATGGTGGTTAGGATGAAGTTAATATCCATACAGGTGAAGTCACCAGATTTTCAGTCTAAATTTCAGAGCCATTTGCCCTTGCTGAGAAGAATTGAAGGTGACGCCCAGCCTTGAGCTCCAAGCATCCAGGCAGTGGTAGGTGAGGTGCCCAGGAAGCAGGAGGGGGACCCAGCTTGCCTGCTTGGTCTGCAGAAGAGCTGCCTGCAGGACGACATGGGAAAGCAGGAGAGGCCTGTGCCAATGGTCCAAGGTCAGCGGGTGAGAGGTGCACCGTGGGCAGCTCTGGGCTCACTGTGAGAAAGGATGTTAGGAACTGGGCTCTGCTGCCAAGGGATGTCTCAAGTAGTGAGGCCCCTGCCTGAGTGTCCCCAGAGGCTGGGTAACCTTCGTTCCACAGGGAAGCAGAGCCCTAACTGAATGGGCGTCTGGCTTCATGACTGTTGGGGTTTCTCCCAGCCCTGAGATTCTTGGTTTGTTTTGATAAGCAAAGATAAGGCTCCTCATAGGGTCCCTCGTGCTCTTGAACTTGGCACACAGTATCATTAGCCACATTCAGCTGTTGGCAATCAGAGTTTTAAGTTAAATAATGGGGTTTGCCTGCCGTACTGTAAGAAATCCGTGTTGGCAGCGAGCTGATTCCATGTCCTAAGCAAGAGACCACACAGGAGTGTGGCCAGTACACTTCAGCTTTCGCATGAATGTGTGCCAAAGCTTGATAAATAGCATTGTTTTTGTTTTGTTTTGTGTAAGTTTTGGTTTCTTTTTTCCCGGAGCTGCTCGGTGCACTGTGATTTACTGTCTGTGTGTCCACTTACTAGGACTGGCCTTGCTCACATCTCTCCTATGGTCACATTTCACTGGGTGTGGGAAGATTATTCATATAATGTGACATTGGAATTAGGGGACGTGGCTGTCTCAGATGCCGGATCAACTTGGGTAGAAACCATCCTTCCCGTGTGTGTGTGTCATGGGGAGCTTGGAGCTGCAGGCCTGGTTCTCCTGCTTCCAGCCCTCACACCTCTACCACATGCCCCTCTATCAAACCCCCAGGTCTGTCACCCCAGGCGTGGACTCAGTGCTGCCTCTCTGAAGCCTGAAGGGTGACTCCCCAGGCAGCACAGTCACCACACAGCAAGAGAGGCATGAGGGGGACCGTGCCTGTGTTGTGAGATGACATCTAGGTGTCTTCCATCTCGCCTAAATTTAAAGTCAGTACCTCTCCAGCTAGCCTTCTTCCTGCAGCAGAGGAAAGGATGGATGTGGGTGGTGGCAGGCGAGGACAGATGGCATGATCCCTGACTTCATGGTCAAAGAACTCAAACCGAAGTGCAAGGGTCCTCCGGGCCTCGGTTCCTCCTTAAAGTAATAACAATAAAGATAGAACCTTGTCTTCATGATTTTTAAAAACACATTTCCATGGAAATAAATAAATGTAAAAATTAGGTACTGTTTGGGGATTTGTTTTGATATAAATAGTTGACCACATATTTTCCATGAGTTTTCATTTATCTGTGTCGAGAGGATCCTCCCCATTGATCACATACACAGCTGTTTTATTCTTTTGAGACATCAGAGCTACGGTGTTAATAATAGGCACTCCCTATTATTGAGCATTTGGGTTGTTTCCTCTGTTTCTGATACTTTAACTATGTGTGTGTGTCCATTGAAACAATTTGAACTCAGTTTTTAGAGGTTGTCTTGCTCTGTATTTATTGTAGCCCAATCCTGGGCAAGTGAACATGTGTGTGCAGTATATTCATAGGAGAGTAATGGCTGCAGCCTAGGGTATATGCTTTAGGTTTGATACCCAAGCCTGCTTTTCACAGTTGTGAATTCCTTTCCTCAAAGATGCAGGGCATTGCCCATATTTGCAGTGTGGCATTGTTTGGATTTGCAATGACTTAAAACAAATAAATCTCAATATTTCATTCGCAGTTCCCCAGGGACTAAGTTACTAATGCATACGAATAGATTAGCAAAGGGATTCATTTTTCATGAATTGTCTGTCCTTATCTCTTGCCTATTTTTAAATGAAGTTATCTTTTCCATTGTTTTATAGTGATACTGAAATGATATGGACTCTAATCATTTGTTATGAATGGTTTAAAATTCTGACACTCTGGTTTTATGTTGTGCTCAGTATTACAGAGGTTTTAATTTTCAGTTATTGTTTTTTAAAATCAAATACTGCTGTTCTTCCATGGCATCTAAATTCAGTACTTTGACTTTCTCAGGTCTCTCTCATCCCTGAGCTTTAAAGATAGTCTCCTGTGTCTTCTGTTTATAGTTCCTATTAATGTTTAGAAAGATGTTGCTCTGGCTGCAGCCAGTCTGTTGTGAGCCGTGACGGGGGCCTTGCCATTTGCTTGATCACACATCCATCTTCCACTAATTTAACTGCCTCCCTGGAATCCTCTTGTAAATTCCCATGTATGAGAGGGTGCTTCTGGTTATTCTCCTCCATCGATCTATTTGTCCGTTTTGTGCAAAGCACATATGATTTTACAATTCAGCATTACACAGACAATATAATTATTTTTCTTAATTTTTTTTAGTTGTATATGGACTCGATGCCTTTATTTGTTTTTATGTGGTGCTAGGATCAAACCCAGTACCTCGCACTTGCAAGGCAAGTGCTCTACCACTGAGCTACAACTCCAGCCTCAGTCTAATTATTTTATAGTGTAATACAGAATGATTTTTCTGTATCTGGTTGGTCAAACTCACTCTCATTATTTCTCCTTTTCAAAATTATATTTCTGGTGTTTTCTCTTTCACATACACTTTAGAATGAATATGTCAATTTTCTTTTTTAAAGTTTTAAATTTTTTAATTGAATTTTCAGATTAAGTAGAACATCATGCCATCTGACTTGCAAATGCCATATCGAATAAGAAATCTAAGTTTAAAAGTTGCATTCATAGAATTATTTATAATCTGGATTGAGGAAACAGCTTACTACCTATGACTCGGGACAACAGAACAAAATATGGGAATATTTATGAGTACATAAAAAAGATAAAACTTTTGCCTGGCAAAACTTTGCACAAGAGAAGACAAATGACAAGAAGAGAAAATATATGCAACATGTATCACAAATAAAGACTAATGTATTAACATGCAAATAATAATACTTCACTGAGATGGACTATGGTATGCCTAATACTACTAATAGTTATGAATTGTGTGTATTTATGTATGTGAGAAGATGCAGATAGACAGAAGACGATGGATGATAGGTTCACAAATGTCCCTGTTCCTCCCTGCCGAAGTCCATCAGAGGACTCTTCACCAGCTCAGACCTCCTGTGTAAGCACATTGGTATTGGGAGGGCAACAGGTAAACCCTGGGGCACTTAACCACAGCTAGGACGAGCTGTTTTTTCCTTCATTTTCTTTTCTATATTCATAGAATAAACCCATGTTTTTCTTTGTCCCCAAGCCATCATAGCTTTCCATCCTTCATGTTCTTCAGTGTGGCTTCTTCCATGTCCTTCAAATATAACTGTAGGGGCTAGGGAGATAGCTCAGTTGGTAGAGCGCTTGCCTTGCACGCACAAGGCCCTTGGTTCGATCCCCAGCGTGCACGCGCACGCGCGCACACACATACACATACACATATGACTGTAGGATGACTTCCTGGTATAATTGGCAGTGGTTGCACTCAGCTAATTGAACTCATCTTGTAATCCAGCCCTTGCTGCCCATCAGCTACGTTCTTCCTTCATTCTGGTTATGGGAGCAGAATGTTGAGCAGAGAGCTCTCTAGTCCTGAGGAGGGAGCGAGGGACACTGCAACCAGCCGCTGGACAGCCATGTTGGCACTCTGATGCACCTGCCTTGCTCTCTCAGGCCCACACCACTGGCAATTTTCATAAAACAGTCGTGTTTCCCACTGAGAGGACCTCAGAGCTCACCAGTGCCACCTCTGCAATTGAACCATAGCAAGCCAGTTTGGGGATTGTGCTTGACTTTGTATTCCATATAAAGTACCTAGGTAGAATGGCCCAGCATGGCTCATGTTAGTGTCACAATTAAAACGCCTCCGAATGTCTATTTATACCCTGTGTTGTACCAGAGTATTATTTGGGGTGGCTAACTGAGGTTAAAATTCAGGTCTCTGCATTTCCAATGTTCTGGAGTTCTGAATACGTTTGCTTTAATTTGGTTTATTAGAAAGCCATAGGTGCTACAAGGACAAGTGGTACACCTAAAGTTATTACTCTTCTGTGATGTGGTTCTCTGTCCTAAATGTCTGACTACTTTTCTCTCTCCCTAGATTCAATCACTCAGCACAAAGTCTGCGCCTTTGAAAACTACCTGTTGCTGTAGTGAGGAAGACACCAGCACATGGCATCTGAAGACACTTGCAAAGCCGTCCTGGGATGCTCAAGTGAGGAGCAGACGGTGAAGAGAAGGAGCCCAATAGCCCAGGTCTACCTGGGGTGAGGTGCTGTCCTAAGTCTCACATGAGGGAGCGCATGTTTCAGACAGGCATAGCCCACCCTGTCTGGGTCCTTTCTATATAAACCTGTTCTTTTTATCTTAATGATCATCACATGAAAAGATGGCAGAATCTTGTCATTAAAGCGCTGTACTTTCAAATAAAGAGTGGAAATTCTTTTAAGTTTTGTGTTCCTCAGAACAGTCAGTGAGCCCCGGCAGCTTCTTGGCTTCAACTCGAAGGTCTTGTAATGTATCACCTACTGGGTATGAAGGACGTCTGTTAGTTACTAAGGTTAAATCTGTGCGTCTGGCCCCACAGTGATTCAGGAGTGTCGTGTGATGACGAGTTGTGCCGTGTGTGGCCCTGGAGCATGGCCAGCAGGAGACCAGAGCTGCTGCCCGTGGGGGAACCCTCAGGGGGGATGAACCAGCTGGCCTCCTAAAGGAGCCACACTAAGTCCAGGCGAGGCTGAAGATGCCACCGAGAGCCCATCATGGAACTGTCCCTTTGTGTTTCTTACTGCCACTCATCTCAGCTATTGTTCCCAGCTCAGATAAATGTCAAATCCCTCAGTAGTTATGATGGATCAGTGGTTAGAACAAGACTTTGAGAGACGAGGTAGCCATGTGGCTGGAAATGAGGATGTTCCGCGTTCCTAACAGCGCTCGCCCAGGAGTCCCCCGTGATGCTCATGGTCTGGCAGTGGCTGAACTTCAGCCCCGCACCCCAAGTCCATGCCCTTCCCCGTGTCCGTAGCTCCCACTACCCAGAGTTCCCAAGGAGGCTGACAAGACACCACAGAGCTCCCGGGTGCCACCAGCTTCACCCTGGAGGGAATACCAACCTAGCCTTTGTCCGCCCAGCAAGGCTGAGTCCCCATGCCAACCCCAGTTCCTGGTCCTAGCCTGCCAGCAGCCAGTCAAGGTTCACACCCCAAAAACCACGCCGTAGGAGGACAGGCTTGTGCTAGGCATTGCCCCAAGCCCGCATGTGCTGCCCACCTTCTCCTCTGCAGCCCTCTGGGTCGGCTTCTGTGTGTCTGCCATCCCTCACCCAACACAGGTAGGGCTGAACGTTCTCAGAACTCTGAATTTTGTTTTTAATTTGGAAAAGTGAGCAACTCTCACACCTTCTGTTGAACAGTGTAATAGGCTTTCTACCCAGAGAAGAAAGCAAGAATACAAGGCCTACAGATTAGAAGAAGTAAAATTTATGATTCTCAAGATTTCATGGAAATGATATGAGCACCAGAAATATTGTAGGATTATTGACTATTGATTATATTAATTATGTATGTGTTGAGTGAATAAATAAATGATTATAAGAAATGTGCCCATGATGTAATGTGAACTGCAAAACTTAGATAATTTGCAGAACTCAGATAGACTTAAGTTAGTGATGAGAGTCTACACCCAGGGCGTACGCCCCAGACCCCATCCATTTATCAGCTGCAAGCACAACTGAACTAGGACTTAAAAACCCAGACTTCTGGGGGGCGATGGGACTAACAGGACCTGGACAGAAAAACCGAGGCCCCCGACCCTGTTGTCCCCCCCCCCCCCCCCGCACCAGACTCCTGTGGCACCGATTAAGTTCCAGCAACCCAGACTTAAAACACATCATAGGTGAGCGTCTGGAACCCTTGGGTGTAGACTCAGTTAGGACTTAGAAATAGGATGTGTGTCTGAAGTGTGATGAGCATTAGTGACATAGATTTGATTGAATCTAACTGTGCCTCAGACTGAATTTATAGTAACCTTGTGACAAATATACATGGAAATTATAAGGAATCAAAGAAAAACTTACTAGAACTAACAAGTTTGGCAAGATTAAGGATACAAAATTAATGTATGAAACTAATGGAGTCATAATTCTGTAATTGTTAATAGGCAGTTTGAAGTGAAATTCAGAATGCAGTTTCATTTATAGGAGCATATTTTAAAAAAAAGGACTAAACTTGGCAAAGAAGTTTAAGACCTGTATACTGAAACATGAAACATTGCTGATGGAAGTTAAAGACCTAGATAAATGGAGGAATATGTGAAGTTTGTGAACTAGAAAACTCAATATTGCTAAGAAAGCAGTTCTCAAGTGGATATAAAAATGCAGTGCAATCGCTATCAAAACCCCGGGTGGTTTCTTTGTAGACTTGGAAAGCTGGTGCTAAAATTTATATGAAAATAAAATACAAAGAGACACTAGGAGGCCAACTTTTTTTTTTTTTTTTTAAGGACAAAGTTGAAAGACTGAGAATACCTGATTTCAAAATCACTAGAAGTGTGATTTGGGCACAGAACAGACATGTAGATAAGGGAACACAGTAGGAATCAGGCCTCAATCCTCCTGCTTATGGTCTGGTTTTCAACAAAGATGCAAGACCACCCACGATAGTAGAATATCGCTTTTAACAACTTTTTGGCGGGGCGGGGGGGGGGGGGGGAGTTTAAAAGCCCTTAGATCTGTGTCTCAGTAGCATATGCAAAAGTGTATTCAAATTGGGCCAAAACCTCAGCACCAGGGACACTGGTCAGGAAGGTGGTGGAGAGGCTGTCCTGTGCATGTGGTAGGCTCAACAGCATCTTTGGCTCCACCTGTAAGATGCCAATAGCACCCACTGTGACAGCCAAAGTGTTTCCAGATGGTCCTGAATCTCCCCCAGGGCAAAACAGTCCCCAGTTACTGTGTGAACTGAAATCACATAGCGTCTGGAAGAAAGCAGAGCAGGACATCTCTGCCACCTTGAGTTAGGCAGGTTTAGATCCGACACTAAAGGCATAATTCATAAAAACAAAAGTTGGGCTTTATCAAAATTTTAAAAATTTACTCTTGAAAATAAACCATTAAGAAAGTGAAAAGACAAGCAAAGACTATCATTGCATATCGGCTAAAAGAGGTGTATCCTGAGTATGCAAGGAGCCCACGTAACTCATTAACAACACCTCACACAAGAAGATACTGAGTGATGACTAAGCACAAAAAAAGGTGCTCCACCCATGTCCTTAGGGAAATGCAGACTGAACCATGAGATGCCTGCTCCACTCCCTCTAGAAGGGCTGGAAATGACAAGACTGGGGACACCAAGAGTTGACCCAGATGTAAAGCGACTAGAACGCTCAGCCCTGCTGGATAAGGGTATACTCGGTCTGAAGAACCACTTGGCAGTTTCTCTTAGAATCCCACATGCTCACCACATGACCAGCAGTCGCACTCCCAGGGATGAACCAGGAGACAGGAAAACATCTCCCACAGGACTTGCAGGCGCGTGTTCACAGCAGCATCGTTCACATCAGGCCAAAGCCACACTGCCCACCAGCTGACAGTGGGCTAAGCAGACACAGTACGTCCATGCCACAGAAGGCCACTCCACAGCAGACAGACAAGGCGTGGCCCTGCGCAACAACATGCGTGATCCTCAAAATATGATCCGTCCAAGAATCCAGAGTCAAGAGATTACATGTTGTATCGTGACACTTGGCTGAAATTTCTAGAGCCCCAAACTAGACAGGTAGAAAGCAGATGAGCAGTTTCACTTGTGGGGAGGGAAACATTCTAAACCTGGATTCTAATCATGGCTGCACAACTGGGGACATTGAATAAAATCATTGAACGGTACTCCTGTGAGTGAAATTTACATCATACATCACTAAAGCTGTTAAAAAAAAAAAAAAAAGCTAGGTTGGCAACCATGGAGCTCTGCACCTCTTTGATCTCCTCAAGAACTTTCTGTTCAGCAGTAATTAATGTAGTCAGCCCATACCCTCCAGCCTCCAGCCCAGAGTTCCTTCAAGACTGGCCTCAGCTGTCAAGCCAAGGCCACATTACTCTTCCACAGCCCTCAGCCAAGGATGGGGCACAGCAGGGCCTGGGGACCTCACCAATTCTACCCAACATCAGACCCCTTACTTAGCTAGTCTGTGCTCCAGAATCCCACTCGGAGCTGGCCCTTGGGTTGGCTGCAGCTTCATTTAACCTGCAGTGTGGTCTGAGCTGTCAGAGCTACAAGGTGGCCAGAAGCTCTACTTATCAGATCCTGTTTCCACCTGCTTTGGTTTTCCTAGGAGTGCCCCCAGTATGCCTCTTGCTCTCTCGACTCTGCATCCCACTTGAGAGAGAGAGATGATGCAGGTACAGTCCAACAGAAATTGGGTGGAAACCAGTAGCCAGCACCCCCAGTGACACACAGAACGTGAAAAGGCACGAAATCTATTAATAGCCTCATTTATATTCAGGTCAGATTTTGCCTCTAATTCATCTGCAGTAATCTGGTTTTCAGTGTTTGGGGTTGTGAAGTGTGGGTAAAGGACTGAAGGACTTATATTAGAATCTAGAGATACTAAGCTTTTTGAGGTCACATAAACCAGTCATCAGAGTAGCTGGGGTTGGAAGGCAGGTTAGATCCAGCGTCTACACTGCACTGTGCTGCATGTTTGTTCAACTGTAGTTGGAGGCAGTCTGAGAGTGTCCCCCCTAAGGCTCATGTGTGGGAAGCTTGGTCCCTGGGTGATCCCAGCATTTGTCGGGTAGTGGGACCTTCAAGAGGCAAGGCCTGGTAGAGGTGGTTAGGCCACTGGGGTGTGCCCTTGGAAGGGATTGACATAGCCCTCATTGGACCCCAGGCTCTCTGGCTTCCTATCCCATCCTCTGATCTCTCCCTCTTGAACTTGCTCCTGCCCTTTTTATGACATCTACCAAGAGGTCCTCTCCAGACCTGAACCAGTGTCAGACCATGGCCTTGAGCCTCCAGAACTGTGAGTTCACTAACCCTCTTTTCTTTAAAAGTACCCAGCTTTGGGGCTGGGGATGTGGCTCAAGCAGTAGCGCGCTCGCCTGGCATGCGTGCAGCCCGGGTTCAATCCTCAGCACCACATACAAACAAAATGTTGTGTCCGCCGAAAACTAAAAAATAAATATTAAAACACTCTCTCTCTCTCTCTCTCTTTAAAAAAAAAAAGTACCCAGCTTCTGTGTTTTAGATATG